CAAATAGCAATTTGGAACTCTCGTAGTTCGCAGAGCACATTTGACCCTAAAAACCCTTAAGTTTTTATGGGATTGGTTGCAAAACCGGATTTTTATAAGTCTAGAGAAAGTTGATCTCAAACGAAAGTCTCAAACCAAATGCGCCCTTTCCTTTAAAATTTCGTAAATTCCAAACCAGAGCAAGTAGGAATTTGAAATTTTCGTAGTTCGCAGAAGACACTTGATCCTGCAAATTCTGAAAATTTCATGGAAATCGCCCTATAGCCTGATTTTTAAGAGGCTAGAGAAAGCCAAAATGGAAGTTTTCCCCATTTCCGCTAAAGAGTTCGTTATAAGGCCATGCTTTAACAGACGCTCAAGGCTGCGTTAGCAAGCGATAATCTATAATAAACATGTCAGAAGATCGCTAAGATCCACGCGTGTGGATTTATATAAAATGTAAAAATATATAATTTCAATGTCAAAAGATGCAACATGAGATCAGCTTAATTAACCAAAATTGATGTTAGTAAGTGAACAAGGATGTACCTTAAGTGAGCAATAATGAATGTTTTCTTCTGTTTGAAATGTTTTCGCCCGCTGTTTTGGTTTGGAGCTGAAACATTTAACTATGTTAAAAATCAATAAAGCGTCGCAAACCTTGAGGAACCGGATTCTGCCGATTTTTCATATCATACAAAGTTGATTTCCAGATGTGAAATTCGCAGTTGCATTTTGCTTTTAGCAAGCATTTTGCGAGTATTTTCAATTAAAAAATTTTCAACAATCCACGAAAATTGCGATTGTAGTCCGTAGTCCCAAAGCGGCCCTCTAATTATGTGATTTTTACGTTAAAATTTGTGTTTTTGAGAATGCTATGCTAATTGTTTTTTATCGATGAGCTCACGGATGTAAATTTATATCTTAATTTCTAATTCAGATTGTTTTAAGCATCTGCAAATCTTCGGGAAAAAACCAGCATTAATCACCGGAATTTATGTGATTTAATATATCGAATAGTAATTTTACCGAATATTACTAAATCAAAAATTCGCCGGATTAATCATTAGCGGCCTTGATCAACCAGGATGCAAAGCAGCCTCATTAAACACCTTTTGGGGACTGTTTCTCAACCGAACTTTTATTTAACAGTAGCGATTCATTTATAACAAACTTGTGATGATTTTGCAAGGGTAATTGACAACGAACTTTAAACCACATCAGGGTTACTTACCAGCTACGAGGTAAATTCTCTTTAACCTTCGGGTAACGAGCTTAACTGGAAGCCATGGCTTTATTATAGGTTTTACCGCATGCCAATCTATTGTTAAAAATAATTTTATGTTAGCATTAGCATGTGGCATTTGACCAAAAATAGGTTGATAATTTTCGCGAAGATGCGTATCATTGTCATTTGGTCAATAGAAGAATTTCACCAGTTAAGGTGAGCTGATTTGAACGATGCGATTATTGAGATTGAAAACTGCTTTTTACAGAGTGAACGACTATATGTGTGATTCAAAAATACGTAAAGTTTAGCTCTTTTGGGCCCCTTGAGTTGAAAGAGTCAACTGTTTACATGTGTGTTTTTTCAGCTCAATGCAAAGCTCTCGACCTAAGGAGCTTCTCAATATGAATATATGAAAAGTTCCTGTGTCTTAAAAACCCGAACTTTATCTCTCAACTACTTTGTTTGTAGGTGTAAGTTTCAATCAGAATCAGAAGACTTGTTTTCAATCAAAATCATCATTTTTTCGCAGTCAAGTTTTCTAATAATTCTACGCTTTGATCACTTGGTAAATTGAAGAATTCATTCTTCGACTTGATTTATATCAGTGACTCATATTGGAGCATCTTCAACGGGCAGACGTTTATATAGTGGGGAGAGAAGATGCGGCTTCCAAGATATAAATAGTCAACGATTATGAAATAGCGAATAATTTTCATATTTCTACACTTAATGAAATTAGCGACCCGTTAAACTGCCATTATTGATTTCGGTTCGGTGTGAGTAAATTGTGCGTTCTACTCGAGAAAATCACCTCCTAAACATGAGGACATATTTTCTACTGGTAAGTGAAACATTCTTCTAGCATGGGAAGTCATTTTTATATCAATTGAATTTTGATATTTCGAACGATTCGGGTAAATTAGAACTATCAGGATGATTTTTCTGCAGCACTTAAGTAATATGTGTTTTTAATTAACTCGAATATAAAATCGATGGATATTTTCGCTCAAGCGCGGTTTCTAAAAATTCCGAACTTCGGAACTGAAACAAGCAGCGACTTGAAAATTGCACAAACTCTAGAAGACAGTTCACTGTAACGATACTGAAAATTTTATCGGAATTTTCGGACATCCTGATTTTTGGCTGCTTAATAAACCTAAACCTTGGAATAGAGGCTTCCATCCAACCCTTTGCTTGCTTTAAAAATTCCCAACTTCCAAACTACAGCTCGTAACGACTAGAATATTCTTAGACGTCAACTTTTTAGTCTTTAGAAGGCAGTTCACTGTAAATGTACTGAAAGCGTCATCAAAGTTCTCCAAATTTCCGATTTTTGGCAGCTCAATCAACCCAAGCTTAAAAAAAAGACTTCTTTTTAAAAATTCGTAACTTTTAAACTGCAGCAAATAGCTAGTTGAAAATTTTTCGGTCTTTAGAAGACACTTCACTGTAAAGACACCGAAAGTTTCAGCAAAATCGTCCAAAATCCTGATTGTTGGCAGCTTAGTAAATGTAAGTCTTAAAATGGAGGCCTCCACCCAACCGTGGTCTATTTTCAATATATTCTCTATAACTGGAAAACTGTGGCGAGTAGCGACTTGAAAATTTCTCAGTCCTCAGTAGACTTCACCATAAAAAAGCTGAGACTTCTGTGAAATCACCAGAAAATCCTCATTTTTTGGCAAAAGATTTCGGGCTTTAAAGACCGCCGTAAAAATAAGCAAAAAATCATGAGTTTCCAACATCTTCTTGCTAATTATACACCAAATAGATGAGTAAGCCATTCAAACACCAATTTACACACAATCGAAAGTTGATAAAAATGAACATTCCTTGACATTTACCTGCTGGCAACAACAAAGCTGTGGAAACAGTCGAAGAATAATTATGACACTTTTTAATTGAATCATTCGCAGCATCTTTTCCTGTTCAAAATCGAAAAATCTGCCGAATTCCAAAGTGCGCATAACAAGAAATTACGTAATTTTTAAATTTACACATAAACAATTAAGAAAACCTGTTTAGGAAGACGCAAAACGCCAGACTGTATTATCTCGATCGATAAAATCCGTTTTAGGTAACATTGGTGTGTTGCCTGCAAAGGTCAACAGCTGGAGAGGTGAGACTGTTGGATCTTGAGCCGAGCGACGCTCAGAATCTGATCGAACAGCAGGATCAGACTTTGAAGTATGCGCCTAAGGTCGAGTCGAATGTACCGGCAGTACGATTTCTAGGTAAGGGGACGCATTCTAGGGCCACTAGTGTATGGTAGGTACATGGGAACATTGTTTGCTTAGGCCAAGAGCCTCACAATGTGCTGGAAGACATTTATTTGGCCAAGCAATATCATGGGCAAGACGGCTTAGGCGGGTACCTTTATGGCTACCAGGTTCCAGACATTGCAAAGAACGAGCAGAAGAAACCCAGCGGGGACTTGAAAGGTGCTTACAACTATGTGAATGGCGCAGGCCAGGAAATCAGAGTAGGTTTTGCCAGTTCTTCGCCCTAGAGTATGTGGTAACCAAAAACATTAATAAATAGACCAAGCTAGTCATTCATAAATCCCGATTTGTTTGGGACCAACATTAAATTCTATCGATCAGCGATTTATCAATGAAAAACAGGTGGTAGGGATAAAGTAGGTACCGAGCAAAGAGTAGAATTAATCGGAATATTTCCCTCGTGTGATAATCTGTCCGCAATTATCGAAAAATTACAGCGGTAATTGCACAGTGTGCAATTATCACTCAACGATAATTGCATTGTTTACAACAAATATTTGACAGGTGTCTTTTCATGTTGAATTAGACATCAAATGTCTTCCTGACATACCTAAATAATTCAAATTAAATTTAATAAACAGAAGTAATAAAATTTGAAGGGTAATAAAATATAATAGAAATCAAATGAATCCACATTTTCTTTGTTTACTCAGGAAATATTCATAAAAATTAC